GTCCAGATATTAAAGGGGGGAAATTTAAATTGCCCACTGTCGACATGCCATCATTGGATCTCTCACTACCCAAAATGAAGTCTCCAGATGTTGATGTCACTCTTGAGGGTCCTGATGTCAAGGGAGGGAACATCAAAATTCCATCTGTTGATGTTTCACTTCCTAAAGGAAAGGTTGAAGGCAGCCTTGATGTCGAGGGCCCTGAGATGAAAGGGGGCAAATTCAAAATGCCAAAATTTGATGTTTCTTTGCCTAAAGTCAGTCTCCCAGAAGGTGGTGTAAAAATAAAGGGCCCTGATACTAAAGGTGGGACATCTGAGATACCCGAAATTGATATTTCACTCCCTAAAGCAAAAGCACACGGAGAAATTGACGGGCATGCTGAAAAGGGTGGAAGGTTTCATATGCCATCTGTCTCTCTTCCTAAAATCAAAGCAACGGGACCTCAATTCAACATAGAAGGTGCATGTCCAGGGTTTGAGATTTTCCTACCTGAAGGAAAAGCTGAAGTTGACCTCAACATCGAAGGTCCTGGCAATAAAGGACGCAAATTCACAATGCCCAAAGTTGATATTTCACTTCCAAAGATGAACTTCCCAGAAGGTGATATCAAAGTGGAAGGACCCAACGTGAAGGGAGAAAAGGTTACAGTTCCAGAGGGTAAAGTAGAGGGAGATATCAATATTGAAGGACTCTCTGAAAAAGGAAGGTTTGATATCCCGAAGGTTGAAGTTGATAAAAAAGGAGGTGGATTCCATATGCCAACTCTTGACATAAATCTGCCCAAATTTGACCTTGACCTCAGCCTGCCCTCTGGTGTAAAAGCTAAAGGCTTCAAAGTTGATACTCTAAGTCCTGATGCATCTGGAGATTTGGAGATGTCTGGTCTTACAGGAGGCCTTAGTCCTGCCAAATTGGAAGTTAAGAATGAAGATATAGAGACAGGTGGTCTAGAAGGTCCAGGTGCATCCCTAAAACTTCCCACAGTAAAACTACCAACAGTTGACATCTCAGCTCCAAAGATGGATCTCAATTTTGGCCTTACAAAACCCAAAGGTGATGATGTGGAAGTAGAACTTCTGAAAGCAGAAGGAGGGAGGCCTTCTTCAGGGGGCAGCTTTGATCTACCTGTTTTCCTCAAAGTACCTAGTTTCACTCTTCCTAGGTTTGGGGGAAAGACAAAGAGCTGTAACTTGGAAATACCAGTACCTAAGGGAGATACTTCACTCAGTTCACCACATGTAGAAGGAGAGATCAGAGCACCGTCGGTGGAGTTTGATGGAGGTGGAAAAGTCAAGGTGAAAAAACCTAAAATCAAACTGCCCTCATTTGGCATGTCCAAGAAGGCTGCAGATGTATCAGTCTCTTGTCCTGATGTTGATGTTAAAGGGAAAAAGGGAAAAATTGACATTCATCAACCAGATATCAATGTTGACAACTCAGATGACATGTCAAAATACAAAATGAAATTTCCCAAGTTAAAAATATCATCACCCAAAAGTGAACTCCCAGAGGAAAAAGTTGAAGCAAAACTGGATGCAGATGTAGAGGCAAAAGGTGGCTTCCATGCACCTGACGTCTCTTTAAAACTGCCAAAGTTTTCTATCCCAGGCTTTGTCTCTAAAGAAAAAGACCTAGGTAAGCCAAGTGGTGACCTTGAAGCTAAAACCAAGGTCAAGATGCCTTCTGTTGAGCTCTCGTTACCAGCAGCTAAAACACCAGAGACTGAGGTTCTTCTCCCAAAAGCAGAAGTTGATGTTACAGAG